TAATGATGTAAAAATTTGTCTTACAAATTGTTTGTATGTTCCGGATGTTATAAGAAACATTATTTCTATTCCAGTAATGGATAGAGAAGGTTTTAAATTTGTTATTGAGAACGGAAGATGTTCCATTTTCAAAGATACAACTTTTATATATTTCGGAAATTTGACAAATGGGTTATGTACCATTACACCACAAAGTCCTATCCTAACTATTCAACAAAATAAAAGAAAATTAGATAATCATAGTTCATTCACACTTTGGCATGCTCGACTAGGTCATATATCTGAAAAGAGGATTATATATCTCAAAAGAGGATTAACAAATTGGGACCAAAACTCGACCTTAGAGGAGAGGAAAGGTTGCCTACTTGTGAGTCATGTCTTAAAGGTAAAATGAAAAAATCACCATTTGTTGGACAAGTGGAGCGAGCTAAAGGTCTGTTGGATTTGATCCATACAGATATTTGTGGACCACTACATGTTAGTGCCAAGGGGAACTACTACTATTTCATAACTTTTACTGATGATTATTCACGGTATGGTTATGTATACCTATTAAGGTACAAATCTGAAGTATTTGAAAAGTCAAAGAATTCAGAAATGAAGTAGAGAAACAAATTGGTCGTAGTATAAAAGTTCTTCGATCAGATCGAGGAGGTGAATATTTGACCAATGAGTTTCTTGATTATTTAAGAGATAATGGGATTATTTCATAGTGGACACCTCCTGGAACTCCACAACTCAATGGGGTTTCAGAAAGGAGGAGTCGAACATTGTTGGACATGGTTCGATCAATGATGAGTTCCACTAGTTTACCTCTTTCATTCTGGGGCTATGACATAGAAACAGCAGCACATATTTTGAATAGAGTGCCAAGTAAAGCTGTACCCAGCACACCTTACGAGATATGGTGTGGCAAAACACCCTCGTAAGAGTATTTAAAAGTATGGGGTTGTACTACTTATGTGAAGCAGTTAGTGGGAGGTAAATTGGATATGAGATCCATCTTATGTAAATTTGTGGGGTATCCAAAAGAGTCTATTGGATACTATTTCTATGACCCCTCTGAAAAAAAGGTGTTTGTTTCGAGGAATGCTGTTTTCCTAGAGGAAGAGTTTCTCTCAAAGAATAGTGGAGTCATAGAACTTAATGAAGAACCACAAGAAATTCTACAAAATACCACAAATAATATACCAGTAGAGACTGGACCATCTGTAACACAACCTCTTCGGAGATCTGAAAGGATTTCTAGGGCGCCTGAGAGGCTATACCTATTGTTTTTTCTAGGGCGCCTGAGAGGCTATACCTATTGTTAGAGAACAATGAAGAGGGACTCCTTTTGGATAATGATCCAATAAGCTATGATGAGGCAATGTCGGACATTGACTCAGATAAATGGCAAGAAGCTATGCAATCTGAGATAGATTCCATGTATTCAAACAAAATATGGACTTTGGTTGAACCACCACAGGGTATTGTACCCATAGGTTGTAAATGGGTTTACAAACGAAAACGTGGTGGAGATGGAAAAGTAAACACTTTTAAAGCAAGACTGGTTGCTAAAGGTTATACTCAAAAACAAGGAATTGATTATGAGTAAACTTTTTCACCAGTAGCAATGCTTAAATCTATTCGGATATTGCTAGCCATAGCTGCGTATTATGACTACGAGATATGGCAAATGGATGTGAAAACTGTTTTTCTTAATGGAAACATTAAGGAAGACATTTATATGAAACAGCTGCAGGGTTTCATATCCACTGGGAGCGAACAAATGGTTTGTAAGCTTCAAAGGTCCATTTATGGACTTAAACAAGCTTCAAGGAGTTGGAACATTCAGTTTGATGAAACGATCAAAACGTTTGATTTTCATCAGAATCCGGATGAACCATGTGTTTATAAGAAGGTTAGTGGGAATGCAGTTGCATTTGTTGTTCTATATGTTGATGATATCCTACTCATTGGGAATGATATAGGAATGTTACAATCAACACGGGCATGGTTGTCTAAACAGTTCTCCATGAAAGATTTGGGAGAAGCATCCTTTATCCTAGGGATAAAAATCTATAGAGATAGATTTATTAGGATGATCGGACTATCCCAGTCTATGTACATAAATAAGGTACTAAAAAGGTTTAGTATGGAAGAATCCAAACGTGGATATATTCCAATGAGTCATGGGGTTTCACTTTCTAAAATGATGTCTCCAAAGACACCTGAAGAAAGAGAACGGATGAGTCATATACCTTATGCATCAGCTATTGGTAGCATTATGTATGCAATGTTATGTACAAGACCTGATGTGGCTCATGCACTTAGTGTAACGAGCAGATATCAGTCTAATCCAGGTGAAGAACACTGGAAAGCCGTTAAGATGATTCTTAAGTACTTACGAAGGACTAAGGATATCTTTATGGTATATGGCAATGGAGAATTGAAACTAGAAGGCTTTACTGATTCTGGTTTTCAGTCCGATAAAGACGACTATAAATCCATGTCTGGATACTTATTCACTCTGAATGGAGCAGCAGTTAGTTGGAAAAGTTCCAAATAAGAAACAATTGCTGACTCTACAACAGAGGCTGAATATATTGCTGCATCTGATGCTGGAAAGGAAGCTTTTGGATAAGGAACTTCATCCAAGGGTTGGGTGTAGTACCATCTGTTGTTGATCCAATAACGATTTATTGTGATAACAATGGGGCTATTCCGCAAGCAAAGGAACCAAGATCTCATCAAAGATCCAAACACATTATGAGACGATACAATTTGATTAGAGAAACCATTGGTACAGGAGACGTCATAATGGAGCGAGTCGACTCAACAGAAAATATAGCAGACCCCTTAACTAAGCCTTTATCACAGAAAGTGTTTGAAGGACATCCTGAGAAGATGGGTGTAAGATACATGAGTGATTGGAACTAGGGCAAGTGGGAGATTGTTAGAGTAGGATACCCGGCATTTCAATCAGATTGGACGTATTCTACTTGTAAATACAATCTATTGGAATTATATTAAATAATAAGGCATTACTTTATTTTAAGAGTAAGTATTTATCATATATTTGCACTTAAGATAAAATCCCTAGATCACTTATAGCTATAATATATGGTTACGCATAGAGATGGTGATCATGGAACATATCTTGAAAGTTGTGATCTTAAATACAGTTCCAAGTCGTTGGATATTTCGAGATGGGATATCGAATAAATCCAGAAAAGACTTGCACATAATATGTATGCTTATTGGATAAGAATGCTGCATTCTATCAACATTAGCGTGGGACGCAAATACATATATGTGGGTACTTGTTAGAGAACAAGTTCACTGAACATGACCGTATGAAAATTCTTAATGAAAGTTTATCATGTCGAATAAGAATTTTCATGTTACAATAGTACATGATTAATCCTTAGACTTGAGGCACGATGGTAATTTGTGCATATTATATTTTACTTTGATTTATCCTTTTGATTGCTAGCACAATCGTATAAAGGGATATTTTGGGTATTATATTAATATGTATGGAAGTTTGTCAGTGGCCAACAAAGGATTCGACACTTATGAAGATAAGTGAATTTCCTATGTGTTTCATAGTTAGTAATTCAAAGTCCTTGGCCAAGGCGGAATGAATAGAGATTCATAAACGAATTACTAAACTTGAAATGGAATCATAGTTATTAAATCAATTTGGGTTTCGACAAAATCATACCCAAAGATTTAATCGGGAAATTGGATGTCGAAAGGATTTTACATGTATGAACTTGTAATCGAAATAGGTTTACTCGCTATTCACTTAATACTAGATTCATGCTACTTGCTAGATGTTCCCATGATATGTGGGTTCTTGAATTAAAGAGTTAATTCAAGAATAAGAGTTAAAATGAATAACTCAAATTATAAAGAGTTGTAAACTCACTACTAGTATTAATTGTGAACCTAAAAGGTCATACCAATTTTTGAATGAAGGTAAAATTCAAATAGTATTTCTAAAGAGTTAGAATTAATTGACAAATCTAATTTGATTAGATATCAATTAAAGGAATATATTAAATTAATCAATTAGATTGATTAATTGAATTTTGGATATTAATTTAGTAATTAATAGAATTACTAATTAATAGTTAAAATTTAAAATTAGATTTTAAATTTCAAATCCAAATAATAATAAGATTATTAAATAAGGAAATGGAAGAAAAGATTAAAATAATAAAGTGTTGAAAAATGTTTTCAAGAATTATTATTTTATTATTTATCTTTAATATGATTGAAGATTAAATAATAATAAGAATAAATTAATTATGGTGGTTAGGAGTTATTAACTAATCCACATAATTAATCTTATTTTTATTAATACAATAATAATGATTGATGGTGGGTATAAACCAATCACATTATTAATTAAAAGTCAATATTTGGTATGATTATTTAAATAAAATATGATTTTATTTAAAATAAAATATATCAAATATTGATTATTTTATGCTAAAATGTTTAGTATAAATAGGTGCAAAATGTTTGCACATTAATTGCTAAGTTTTGAGCAAAATTCTTCCAAGAGAAAATTCATTCAAAGAGCTGAGTGATAATACAAGAAAGTGTTCTTGAAAAATTTCCTTATAAATATATATTCTATACTTCTTGAAAAACTGAGTAGTTTCTACTAGCGCAGGAACTATTGTCGGAACCGGACTTCAAAAGGTGGATACGATTAGAGGGCATTTGGATTCCTAAAGTGAGTAACCACAAGAAGTGATCGTTACAAAACAGGGAATTGATTTCCTCATACATCGTCGGTTTTGAAGGAGTTCAAGAA